CTAGTATCTAAAAAATATGGGTAATCCTTGTATTAGACACTCCTGTGAAAGTCCAAGATTTACATCTTGCTTGCAAGAGTTTTATTTCATAGAGAACTATGTATAAATCTTGCTCAATACAATTAATTATTTTTAAATATTATTATTTTTTAAATTTAATTGCAAATAGACCTGTAAACAATTAATTATATTAGATAGGAGCTTAAAATAATTCCCTCTTTATTTTATCTCATTATCTACACGTCCATGTTTGGTTTGTTGATCGTCCATGCTTTAAGGGTGTATCAATCCACTTGCCATGCTATTAGGACGTGTTGTTTTCATAATTTCAATTCATTTGGTGAAATGACCTCAACTAAAATCTTTTATCTTTTTTTATAAGAAAATATTTTATCTTTTATTAAGCTTAAACCCATCGCTTATGGTGATTTGACCCGACACGTGAAACTCGAGCTAAATTGTCATGTTTGATTAATGCATTAATGCACTGATAAGTCATCATATGCTGAAGGGAACATTCTTTTTAACACTAGATGAACAGATTGTGAGCTAGCTTGTGAGCTAGCTTATGCGGGTTGATTTTTTTTTTTTTTTGCCGACTAACAGACTGAAAAACTCAACTCAACTCATTTTATGGCGTGCTAGTCTGCATAAATACATTGAATTATTTTTTTTTGTATAAATATTAAATTCAACTAACAAGCATCTAAAATTATAAATACAATCACTCTTACTCATTTAAATTATTCAACAATCATTATTCAACACTTCTTGTGTCTAAATAACGTCCACTCAAATGAAATAACAAATTAACAATCTACTCAAGACAATACTAGAATTAAAATAGCTCATGTTAAATTAGTGATGACATTAAAAGCTTGTTCTGGTCCATAATTATCTTTATCGGATATAATTAATTCCTTACTATCATTGTCACCTTTTTTATCAAAAGCTTCACCTGCCAAACATATAGATCTTCAACATTTATTATAAATTAAGCATGTTAAACAAATTAACAATAATAAAATATATTAACAATGATAATAGAATAAGCCACAGGGTGAGAACTGAGAACACATCACAGTGAGAAGAACCAAGCCGAGACCAAGCACTATATTAGTGAAAACCAGAGACGACGAGCTTAGCTGAATAAGATTTAGTTAAGCTGAGTGAGAGAAAAGATTAAAGAGCGATGAGCAAAAGAGACTCACAGAATAGATCGATGAGCTAACTTAGCTAAGCAAAACCAAATTATGCTAAAGGTTGACAAGATGAAGGTTTGTCGAAGGTTGATAAGCTGAGTCTATTGAAGATCGATGAAAGTCTGTGTTTTGCTGCGTTGCCTTTTCTTCTTCGTGGACTCGTGGTTTGAGCACTGGGGATTGAACTCTGAGTGCGTGCGTGCTGCGTGCGTGCGTGCGTGAGTGCTAGGCTACCAATTAGAGCTAGTCATTGCTCAACAACAAAAAAAAAAGGATTTGCAGGCAACACAACCCATTTTTTAAAATAGACTCATTTTGTCAACCCAAATTGTAAAAAATTGTGGACTAACGAGCTAGCCTATTAGGTTGAGCCCGTTTGCCTGAGTCTAATTTTTTTGATTTTTTTTTGTTAACACATTCTTTTTGATTCAAAATAAGGTTGCTTCCATTTTGAGCACCAGTCACCTTGACTTTGCCATTTCACATGTTTCACTAATTTATTTAAGGCTTGATTTAAATAGAGAAAAAGGTGAAAAAATGAAGATGAAATTACAATTTTTTTTAAAAAAGTAATATTTTTAATATTTTAAAAGTTTTTTCTTTTAATCTTCCTTCTGCTTTGCCAAATAAAGGGTTAAAGTTTGAGGATACATTTAAAAAATATAATTTATTAGTGGCGTGTGCATAAAATAATTAAAGCTAATAAAAATAAAAGTATGATTAAAAATAGCTGAAAAAATATTAAAAGTATTAATTAAACCAGAGACAAGTATAAATACTTTTTCTAAAAATAATACAAGCAGTTGATGAGAAACAGAGAAAGGAGCACTAATTTTTTTTTAATTTTTCTTGAACAAAAGGCAAGGTCAAAATTGTGTAAGAGTTACAAAAGTCAGAACATATCAAAATTTAAGATAATCTTACATCCTATAGGTGGTTCGTTATAAATAATAAGATTGTAGTTTTTGTGAGAAGTTTCCCATGTGAGCAAATCAACGCATTTATTTACTTCTCTAAAATATGAGCAAATGTGACTGTCCAATCTTTCACAACAAGCTCCCTAATTTTCTTGATGATTGTCACTAAATGATGACTATTAGAGAAGTTATGTTAAATAAGAGAGAAAGTTTTCATAAAATTAGTGTGTAAATTGATCTTTATAAGTTTAACATTTCAACCAAACTAAAAACCTTTTAAAATGTCTCATAATTCAATTACAGTACTGAATTGATAGTCAAAATATTTTGAAAATTTTATAATCTAATTTGTTTTCTTATTACAAATGACTTCACCATAAGCAGCAGCGTCAAAGGAGCTAACAAAACCGCCAAAAGGAGTGCTGATCTTTGTTGATGGCGACAAGGGTAGTTGTTAGTTGCTGCCGGCCACTGCTTCGAGCTATCCCCGACTTGCAATACTTTGTGCTGCGTGGCATCTGTTGATACCCTAATGTGGGACTACGATTCTTAATTTACATCTTTATTATTTTATTTTTCCTCTCTGTCTCTCATCCTCTTTCTTCAATAAGAAATTAATTAGCGTTCACATGAAAAAGTCAACAAATTATTTCTTTTTGGTATAACTGAGGTAACCCTCATCCACAACAATCCCTCTGATTTTATTTGTAAAACAAAAAAAGAAAGATTTTTTTAATTTTATTTATAAATTATGTTATTAAATTTTTATTATAAATTTTTTCTTTTACCCTTCATTAAATATTAAAAAAATATATATTATTGAAGTATGTATATTTAATAGAGGTAAAGTTGATAGCTTATTAAATTTTCAGATAGAATTAATAAATTTTAAATTTTTTTTAATATTGATAAAACATATTAGAAGAAACTTATAAATAAGATCAATAAGTAATAACTAATTTTTTTCAAGAATGAAAAAAGAAATAATAAAGTGATAAATCTCTTGTAATCATACATGCTTCATATAAGGATCCGAATTTAAACCTTTGACCACTCACTTAAAATATGAGCCTTTATTAATGATATCAATTTGAGTTGGTATTGCAATAGAAAGGAAGAATGACAGTTAAGTTTAAAAAAATAAATTAAGGACAGTTAGATTGCAAATATTTTTTTTAAAAAAATAAAGTTGCAAGTACTACTTTAAATAATTATAATTTAAGGATTTTAATTATAAATAAAATATTTAAATTATAAATATATTTCTCAATTTGCAATTGAAGTTCTTCCTGTAAATGTGTAAATCTATTTTTTTAAAAAAATTACATTAAAAATTTAATTGATATTAACTTTCTATTGTAAGATTTTACCGTCATTCCCCACAGAAGAAATCAATTCGGTACCAGCTAAATCAATAATAATTCTTCCCGTCATTTTTGTTTCCCTCTGCCGCGGCACCAAACAACCTGAGCAGGTCCAGGCAAGCGACTTGAAGTTGACTAGGCTAATGCATTGGGATGGACTATGGACCGTTAAGTTGTATCAGCGCAGTAAACAAATCTTAGTTAGTTGAATCACATGACTAAAGGGACAAGTCACACAGGACTACTTATTAGTTTTAGCCAGCACAAGTCCTAGACAAATTGTTTTAAATTTTGATAAGTGACTACTATTTATAATTTATACCGTCCATCCATAATTTATAGATAAAACGATATATTAAAATTTTTATATTATATATAAAATGTCAAATAAAATTTACAACAAATCATACAATTTCCGTATCACATCCAATTCGTTCCATAACCTATAGCTTTTAGCTTTTACTTTACCCTGGCCTAAATATTACATAACATACCCCCCACCCCCCAAAAAAAAACTCTTGCTATCACGAAAACCGAATAAAAATAAAGCTAATACTCTTGTTATTAAAAGCAACGAAGACACTTCCACACAATCTGCCACATACTATTTAGCCTTCTTGTGGCAGCATGACTAGGATTCAGCTTCTTATAACGGTTGTCGTATCTAGAGACAGAACCAGAAAATTTTATTAAGGAAGACTGAGATAACAAAGCATGTATCATAATTAAAAAAAATTAAATATATATATATATATATATCACTAATATAATAAAAATATTTCAATGTACATATTTATATTTAATCATATATATATAACAAAAATAAATAATTTAAATATATTATTGAAATTTAAAATTTTATTCAATATAAAAAACTCCATGTCAGCACAGTAACAATGCTCAATTGTTACAAATTTTTTATGTTGATGAAATCTAAATATATCATAGTAAAAAATATTCATACAATAAATTTTAAAAGCTTGATTATTATAGGAAAAAGTAATTTTGTTTAAAGAACATATGTTAACCATAACCTCTTAATTTTTAAATAAGTGATTTTATAGCAGATATCAAACATATGAAATTCAATATATCTTGAAATTTTTATTGTAATGCTTGACAAAAATTGTTAGTAATAATTCTCATAAGTTCTTCCATCAAAAATAAAATAAAAGCAAAATTAAATGAAATCAATACTTTAAGGACAATTATAACGTTATTTTGTTAAAAATAAGTAAATTTTATGACAATTATATCTTCAAATTACTAAAATAGTTGGATTATACATGTATAAAAGACTACTATATGATTAAAATGAGAATTCTATTTAGTATCTCAAAGCTTACGTAATATGCTCACTTATAGGGACCGAAAATATATAACTCCTATATTCTATTTAAAAAAATAAAAATGTTAGGAGGGCCTGTGGCCCTTGCTGGTCCTCCCTTGTCTCCACCTCAGATTATATCCGTCTCCTAACCTCACGCTGCAAGTAATCTCTGTATATCCTTCTGCAAAGAGGAAATAGCATGGTAAGGATAAACCATTTTCAGAGTTCTTCAGCTTCATACCTGACCACAAACTATGCTCTGTGATGATTGGGCCCATCAATATTTAGTAACAAATTACGAAACACTTTCATTCGAGCTTTCTTTCTAACGATCACTGTCTTTGGCTTTGATATACCGTCATGGATGGCAAGCACTTCTGGAACTGCCTATATGCACTCTCTCTCAAAATTTTCTCATTCAAGAACATTCCATAATTCAGAAGCAGAACCAGGTTTACTCATCTGATGCAATACTCTTGTCTCTTATCCTAGACTCAAAGATTATCCTCTGCTAAAAAACTCACTCATTCCCTCCTGCCTTACAGCTTCAAAGAATCTTTATGCCTGCCAACTTAATCTCAGATATAGTTGATTGATAAACTATAATTGCAGTTTTCCCTCCTATAACATTATTATGTTGTAGCTCCACAACCGCAAGACCCGTTACTTTCGGTTTCAATCTAGCGTAACAGAAAACATAAAGCATAATTGATTGAGAATCTTACCGTGATACAAGTTCAATGTCGTCATGCAAAAAATTGTTGAAATGATAAATTATTAAATTTCATAGTTCTTCTATCCAAGTGTCGTAAAAACAAAACTGAGTCAATCAGGCACTAAGGTTAACGCACCTCAATTTGAAACGGTGAGGTTGTTGGTGGGTATCTGTTAACAACTTTACCGTTTTTATCAGCCAAGAATTTCTCAAAATTCCACTTCACAAGATCACCCAAAAAGCCTCCGGCACTGGATTTCAGGAACTGATATACTGGAGCTGTGTTTGGTCCATTCACATCAACCTGTTACAGAGCTTTGACTTTATTTACTAATATTAACTGAGCTACAGTTACTAACTGAAATAAAAATTGGATAAATTAAACCTTATCAAAGATTGGAAATTCTGCTTTGAACCGAGTACAAGCAAAGTCTTTAATTTGAGGGTTTGATCCAGGCTCTTGCCCACCAAATTGATTGCAGGGGAAAGCTAAGATCTCAAATCCTGGAGGGTGGAAACAAACACACAAGGCACTTGGAATCATTAGGATAATGAAACAAATCACACAGGGCACTTAGAATCATAAGGATAATGAAACAAATCACATCCTTGGCTAAAAGTCTTGGTCCCATGTTTCAAAGAGCAACAATAAACTTCAATAATTCACTAGAATGGACTTACACTCAACCTATCCATCATGAATTTGAATAAAGCTATCACAAGAGGCAATGAGAATATATAGTTAAAACCACAAGCAACCACTAGCTTCCCATGTAAACATATACCCGATGAAGAAAAACATAAAATGAAAATGCTTTTCCCAGCGATTTCATCAACAATATGGTGTCTTGCGAAATTGAAATATAAAACATTAAGGATATAGGTTCCACATGATCAACTAATTCTAGTTGGTATCTACATATAAAAATCCAAAAAAATTCGACCTGAAATTCAACAGCAGAAACATTTAAAACTTCTACAGAAAATCTTACTAAAAAATTCTTCCAAGAAGCACAAACAAATATCATCCATGACACAGCATACCTTGAGCTTTGTATTTTTCGTATATGTGTGACAGTTCTGAGTAGTTTGATGATGTTAAACCACTGCCATTCAGAGAAAATTTATTCAAGTTAATCAAAACTGACAGAAACTTGGACATATATAACTGTACAATTTCATGAGGGACTAGGAAGAAAGCCTAAAAGAGGGCAAATTTGGCTACAATGCAAATTCTTTTAGGTACATAGCATCCTCGTGGATTCAGTACCATCTCGATGCAACGTTGACAATCAAAAGAACGTTCCCCTTGAACTTGCTAAGAGAAACATCCTTCCCATCAATATCCTGCACCATATAATAACCACGATCACATTATCCAAGCTTGAAATTACGGTTCTGGCAAAATCAATTACCAATTCTGTCAACATATATATCCTGTGGCCATAAATGACAGCCTACACCAAGTTAAAATTCCAAGGACATCAAGCTTCAAAAAGCAGAGAAACAGAAACGCGAGACTCACCAAGGAGCAAAATGGAATCATGAACTAAGGACGACGAGAGAAGAACATATACTGTAGCGGAAATTTCTATGATCAAATTAAGAGGAACAAAGAATTGAAATTTGGCCGATACCTTGACAGTGAAATCATGAATGCTTTTCTCTGTGGCCGCTCTGGCATGAACACCAAAAGATCGAGATTTATGAGTGAAACCTGGAAAGCCGGATGAAATCTGAGGAAACCCGTGTGCAAAGAAGGCCGACTTGGAGGAACCAATTGAGGTTTTAATGGATGGAACGGTGAAGGCCATAGAGGGCCATGAAGATGAAGAATTCGGGTTCACTTTAGCTTGACTGAGATTGTGAAGAGGAGTAATGAAGAAAGGGGCTGCAGCGAAAGCCATGGAAGCCGAATAACCGCTTGAATCGCGAAGCCTTGCGAATACGAATCCGAAGTCTATCCGCAGTGCGCGCTGGCGGAGCAAAGGTTGGGACTTTATGGGCCTCTCTGTTTATGAAAATGGCGCTTACACGTAGCCACGTGGGTTTCCGGACCCCCCCCCCCTCTTTCTTTGTTTTTTCTTTTTTTACTCTCTCTCTCTCTCTCGCAATAAACACACGAGGAGTACAGATCCAGACCTGGGCCGAGATTGTTCTCGACTCACGATCAAGATCGATTTCGATTTGTTTGGTCTAATTGTAGTTTGAATAATAACATCATCAAATTATATCCAAAAAAAAAAACAACATCATCAAATGAGTTAACCTTTCTGATGAACTAGTTATTCTTTTATGCGGTTCTTAAAACAATACTCAGAATATCAATCTGCATCGAACCACTGAACATATTTGGGAGAAATGTCGATCGAGTTAAGATTCTCAATTTTTTTTTTTCATTTCGTGTAAATTTTTCAAGAAATAAAAAAACAAAAATCTTGGAGCGTTAATATAGACACGCAACCCGGGGAGACATTTATAGCTTAACATACAGGTTTAAAAACAGAGCGAGCGCTTCATCAGTCGTTTACTGGTTTATGAATAAAAAAAAAAAAACAATACATGGGCTATCATGATTGACAAATTTAGTCTTTTAGCATATAAGCGGGCATCATCAATGATACAGGCTTGGGGCTTCTACATAAGCACAAATCACACTCTGCTTTCTGGGCCCTGGAATGGCTTAGCTGTATCACTTTCATGGACTTCTCGTGTGTGACTTGCAATCTAGATCCTCGATATGTCCACGTGTCTGCAACTAACATACCGACACACAAAAACATGTAAATGCACGTGTATATGCATATATGGAGAGGGAGGGAGGGAGAGAGGAGGGAGGAGTGTATGAGCGGCTGAAAAATGCTAGATCAAAGCAGAGGATCTGAATTGGTTATGAATGAATGATCTGCATTGTTGAGAATGGAAAGCAAGATGGGTGCACTAGAATCAGAATCATTTATAAAGGCTCGAGTAAAAGGAAATTATGAGTCTAATGACATAATGTGTGCTCCATGAATGAGCAGCATTACATTGTTGGGAGACATGTGAACGTGGTTTAGCTACCATATATTCGGCGTACTGGGCATGTGAATTCCCGGATTTGAATCAAGATCTGATCTGCTGCCTTATTCAATGTTATTATTAACCTAAGATTTCATTCTCTGTATCACGATTCTTGGATCTTTCACTGCTCATGCTCCCACAATTAACAAGTACCCACGCAAAATTGTGTGATTGCGTCAATCTCTTCCTAACCTTATCACAATACCAAAACAGCAAAACAAAGTGGGTTGCAATTACAAGGCAGATCTTGCCCTGTATGACTTTTTATTTTTTTGGGTAATATACCATGTATGACTTTAAAACAAGGGAGTTCAATATTTAAAACAATGTGATAATTCAGGGCATTGTATTTTACTTTAAAAACCTGTTTTCTTCCAAAGCCAAGAGCTTCAACTTCCACATCGTGCTGTGTTCTAGCACATGTTACAAGACTCAGGCTCATTAATTTGTTATTAAGCCCCACCAATTGTAGTTTAAAATAACATATAGCTGACAAAACTTGGCGTCTTTCTCTTGTTTAACAGTTGAAAGAGTCTTGCGCTGAGAATGCTCCACATGGAAGATAACCTTGGACCGACGTCATTTTACTACGGTATTTTTGGCTGCAACATCACATTAACTAAAGAAAAAATTACAAAAAAAAATTATTATTGAGAGATCTCATAAATTTTATAATATACTCTCAGATTTCAAATTTTACTCATTAGCAACTTGATAAAGACTCTTTGCAAGTTATAAATAACTATTATTCAATTGTCAATGTCTTTAATTAAGTTATTAATATACAAGACTTAAAATTTAGGAGTGTTTTGTAAAATTTATTAAACTTTTCAGTTAAACTTCTTTTTATAGGATCTGAATGCAATTTTCTCTTAATTAAATATGCTACCATGATGTTGCTGCACCTGTGCATTTCCTACAATAGTTTACAGGCGTCTGGTTGTCTTGGTCCTGCCAAGAAGCATGTTATGCTTTGTATCATCATTTAAAAAATAAATTGTATTTTTTATTTAAGAGCATCAAATTTTTTTCATTTTTTACTCGTAGAAAATGATTTTATTTTATTAAGAATAACAACAAATAATATGGATAACGCTTCTGAGCTCGGAGCCGCTTTTGATATCAAAAATTAACCTGAGCATCTTGACTTTGAGTAATGTTTTTAAATACTTAATTAATCGGTTGGATGACAAGGCACTTTTTTTCTATTTTTTTTATCTGAAATCATACGCTCAGAGCTTGAATAAAATTTAAAAAATACCGGAAAATCAAGAACAGTGAAGAGCCAATCTTTTTTCTTTTTTTAATAAAATAGAGACAGGTAATAATGTCACGAGGCGTTGTCATTGCTCCTCGACGAGTCGCTCAGAAACTCAGAGGCACTGATAAAGGATTGTCCTATGAAAATTCTACTATTTTTCTTATCACTTGCCGCCGTACTACTTCTCCTTCCTATCTCTTCCCTCTCCCTTCTGGTCCAAAGCTGTCGCTTTCCTCGATTCTCTCAACCCCTTTAAACTTTCTCATCCTTCCCTATCCTCCCAGAAAACTATAAAATATCCTTCTAGGTCTTCCTGAGTCGCTGAGAGATACTTTCAAGTCACTCTCATTTGCCGTTGGTTTCATTTTAACTCTGATAGTCTGATCTCCGACTCTGTGCGGGCCTCTGTTGGCTGAGTGAGTATGCTCAGATTACGGATTCTAGTTTTGACCTGTGATTTCTTTTTATTCATTTTTTTTTACTTTATTTTCTACCTCTTTTATCTCCTGGGTCTTCCTTGATTCTGCCATCTGGTTGATCTTCAACCTCTGTTGTTCCAGAATAATTCTCATCAGCCAATAGGGCACTTCCAGATTTTTTTGTCATAATTTAACCTGTAATTTCGCTTGTTGAAACTTATAACTGCAATACAAAATTCTTAAAACTTTATGAATTGATTTGATTCTGATTACATTTGCAAAAAAAAATGTAATTCCATCAATCTGGAGTTCTGCACTTAACAATTGATAGCCGATGTACTTGTTATATATTGCTCGGTTAATTTTGCCCATTCTGGTGCTGTCTGATTCCTTCGTGAGCTTACACTACCCACCTTAAGCATTCTGTTCATTATAGTCATGCTGCAAGTTTATTTATAATATATTTCAAAACAATATCTTTATTATCCCTTAAACACGAGTACTTGTTAAATTGGTGGAAACTTATATGGTTTGATCAGCTGCTTTTATTCCCATTTGCATAACGGCTTTTTTGCTTCATGATGTGCCTGCCTAACCTGGGCTTCTTGCTGAACCTTGTGTTTCCTATGTGTACTTCCCTACCTTCATCAACAATACAGGTGTTGCTTCTCTCAAATTGTATCATGCAACATATTTGTGAGATCCTATTTCCTTTTGCTCTTATTCTGTTGTTCATCTTCCAACACAAATAATGACTTCCCTCCATTATGTGCCGCAGTTTAAGATCATTCTCGATGTCATTTTTACTAAACTGTGTCAGTGAGAGAAAAGAACCTGCAATTTTATTGGTTTGAGCCATCATCCTAGTTTCAAACTTATATTCTCTCTATCTGCATATCTACTCACAAAATCGCTGGATTTCTCTCAATTGTTTACCGTGGTTCTTTCACATGGAAGAGAATTATATGATATGAAACGAGGAATTTTTAGTTTCATTGCTAAAAAAGAATATTTGCTCCTTGAGATCTGATGTGCATTTCTTTATTTCTGCAACATTTGTAATTACAGGACACAGCTTCAAATGAATTTTGAATTTTCTTGTCTGTAACTATTGTTTTGGTCTAAGTTTTGCTTCAGTTGCCTCGGAGATATTAAAGTAGCGCCTCTGTGCCTGAGTTTAGAGAAGAATGGGGGTTTACCTTAGCACTCCTAAAACTGAAAAGTTTTCCGAAGATGGTGAGAATGGCCATCTTAGATATGGTTTATCGTCCATGCAAGGATGGCGTGCAACAATGGAAGATGCTGTGAGTTTTTATTCAAGTATTCGCTAGTTCTATATATGAAATACCTTTTTCACACGAATCTTGAATCCTGTAAAATAAATATGAGTGACCACATATGGGTTATATATCAAGTAATCAAGAGTGCCGAAGAAAAGTATGCCACATCTTATCAGCTAACAGTAATTCTGATCTTATTTTTACACGTTGACTTAGTTTTAGTGCATTACTTTATACTTTTTTTTTTTTGTCTTCATGATATCTTCACATTTCTAACATGAAAGGAACGGTTCTCCTGCCATTTCTTTGGAGTATGAGGGGGTGTTTGGGGCTATATCAACAAAATTTCTGTTGTGGGTAGTAGGGTTCTGCTTTAGTGCTTTTATTTATTCGAATCTTCCACATGGCCAGTTTATAGTGGGCATTTTAAATACCTCTTTTAGTGTTGCTACACTCTGTATTTTTGGTACAAACATATAAAAACTTGATTCAAAATCTGTAGGAAAATTGGAAGTCCCAAAGTTTCCTTGTAATTTTGATGTTAATAGGGGAATAAGATGATATTTTCATCCCTTTTTATTGATATAATAAAGGGCCAATGAGATTACTGGTCAATTGAATTGGCATTTTACAAATAATATGAATTACTCGTCTTCATCATTTTGGAATTTACATCACAATTCAATGAACTTGCTTTTACATATACTATTAATACGTCATTGATTTTTATAATCCTTTTCTCTTTTCTTAGCATGCTGCATATCCTGATCTGGATGCGTCCACTTCATTTTTTGGTGTTTATGATGGGCATGGAGGTAAGATTTAAAAATGTTTGGCTACTTGGGCTGATGAAAGTCTTTATCTCAACTTTAAAGCTGATGGCTTCTAATGTTGCGTTGTTCTTGATTACTTTTTTTTGGTTTCATGTTTGTCATTTAATAAGCAAAATGAGAACAACAACGATAACAAGCCTTATTCTGCTAGTTAGGGTTGGCTAAAGAATCAAATTATGTTGTCTATAACAAATTAATGTGAGGGAGAAGTTCTCAAGGCAAGAAAATGAAAAGAAGAAGAAGAAGAAGAAGAAGAAGAAGCTTTTCCAATCTCTGAATATTTTTTTTCTTGCAATAACCATGCTCTTGACATTAGTGTTGTTTTGTCCTTTTATCAGTTTTTCCAAACAAAAAATTAGTTGAAGTTATTTTTCAGCTGTGATTGATTGTATGTAACTAAGTGTAGAAAGTGTGAGTACGCTAAAATTGTAGGATGTGTGAGTATGATTTTGGTCACCTCTTCTAGGGAGGAAAAGAAAGTAGGAATTACGGGTTGGATGTGGGGTTGGTACTGCAGACTTGCAGAAGAATTACAGGTTGTGTGTAATAAATAGTGTGTTCTTTATGGTTGCTAACTGTGCCCTTGTACTTTTTAGGGAAGGTGGTTGCAAAGTTTTGTGCCAAGTATCTTCACCAGCAGGTGCTTACAAGTGAATCATATCAAGCAGGAGATATAGGAACCTCTCTTCAGAAAGCCTTTTTCAGGTTAGTGAAAGAGCGGAGCTTCTCTTGTTTAGTCACTTAAGGTTGAAAATCACTGCTTGCTTCCAAATATTTTTTTGGTATGCAAGTCCTATAGTTGACATTGGGCTCATTCTATTGTCCTATAGATGCATTCCAATAACTTGAGTAATTGGAAGACTATGATAATCAAGTATCTAGCTTTCCTTGATGGTCATCCATCTTTTCAGTTGCTGCTTATGGTGTAGCACATGTTTCAGTGTTTCTCAATTTATTTCTTTTTTCTTTTAAACTTATATGAAGCTGAGAAAATGAATTATGACATTACCTCCTCTCAACCCTCTTGGAAAAGAAAGAGATGAAAAAGGGAAGTGTTTGCTAGTTCCTCGCATACACTTCACTATCTTCCTACACTTTTTTAAACTGGCCATTTTATTTTTATGCAGAATGGATGAGATGATGCGTGGCCAAAGAGGATGGAGGGAATTAGCAGTCTTGGGGGATAAGATGAACAAATTTACTGGGATGATAGAAGGGTTGTTTTGGTCTCCCAGAAACAGTGATAATAATGTTCACGTTGATGATTGGGCTTTTGAGGAGGTCGGTGTAAATAGTTTAGGAGGGTTATCGTAAACTTTGATCTCAACATTGAAGTGATCATTGCTTTTATTTTATATTTAGATGCCTGAAACAGGTCTTTGAGCAGAGATATGTTTTCCTTTCCACAATAAAATGTCTTCTTTGCGATCCCACCTAGTGGGATAAAGCTTATTGTTAATGTAATAAAATTTCTTCTGTTTTTTTTTTTTTGTACATACAATACTTACAACTTAATTGGTGTAATTAGGGCCCCCATTCTGATTTTGCTGGACCAACTTCAGGAAGCACAGCATGCGTTGCAGTTATTAGAAACAATCAGTTAGTTGTTGCGAATGCTGGTGATTCACGTTGTGTGATATCTAGAAATGGTCAGGTAATTTATGGAACAGGACTTCTTGAGCCTTTTTATCATGCTAAGTGCTTTTATACTTTACTACTACCTTCCTCCCAAATTATAAGGCACTTTTGAATAAGTTTCTCCGTACCAAAATATAAAACACTTTGAGTAGATTAAGATTTCTTTAAATGCATCAATTCCAATATTATTCTTCCTATCCCTATAATTAATTTCCATCTCTTTTCTTTTCAATATATTAAATTATGGGTATTTTTGAAAGTTTATACTTTTTATTTTGGGAAGATAAAGTTGTTAAGTGTATTTAATGAGGTTTATTGGTATGTGAGATTTTGTCTAAAAGTGTTTTATAATTTGGGATGGATATATTCTTAAGGTATGTCAGCATGTCTTGTATGTATACTGGTTGAAGCTACTGAGACAACTTCTTGAATGTCTACAAATATACTCTATATATTTTATCATGTGGATTCTATAATGATTGTTTACAACTGAAGATAATTACAGTTACCGATTTTCTGACTCTGGTTTTTCCTACAGGCATACAACTTGTCAAGAGATCACAAACCTGATCTTGAAGCTGAGAAGGATAGAATTTTAAAAGCGGGTGGTTTTATTCACGCGGGACGAGTTAATGGCAGTTTAAATCTGGCCCGAGCTATAGGTAAACCTTGTGATATTTAATTTAATTCCAAATCCCGCTGCTACCCTCTTTTTTGTTTTTGGCAGGTTAAAGAAATTAGTAGCCATGATAAATAACAGAATTATAAATGGAAGGCAACTTTCTAGAATAAGCTAAGATTTCGAGTTCATTTAAAATTTCACATGCATGACATTCTCTTGTTTGCGCTGGACGCACATTTCCCTTGTAAAAGAATTTCTTTCCCCTCAATAATTTTTATAATTTGTGTTTTATTGCAGGTGACATGGAATTTAAACAGAATAAATTTCTGCCCGCTGAAAAACAAATTGTGACTGCCAATCCTGATATAAACACTGTTAAGTGTTTTATTTTTATTTGAAATTCAGCTAACTTAATTTGTTTGCAACTCGTTGCAAGCATTTTCCTTTTAAATATTGGTTTGTTCTGGCTCTCTCAGTTTTTTGTTCTCAACATTTTATAGGTTGAGCTTTGTGAAGATGATGAGTTTATGGTGCTAGCATGTGACGGCATATGGTATGCACCTAATATATCTGTATTCCAGTTTTAATTCTGATTTTTTCAGACATTTGGAGAGGGAAAAAATGGTGATTGAGATAATTAAAATGTACTGTGCAATTGGGTTCTCGTCTTAGACATTCAATTCAGATGACTTTTTTCAGTTAATTGTGGCGTGAGAGAAGCTCATTTTTTCGTGCATATAAATATTTCTGTTCACACCAACTCAGTAAGTTGCATACTTACTGAGTAGTGACTAGAGAGTGGTGATGTGCTTTTCTTTTTCTTTTTTGTGTGCAGGGATTGCATGTCAAGCCAGCAGTTGGTAGATTTTGTGCATGAACAACTGCGTTCGGTGAGTTTGAACTTGTTTCCTAATAAAATTATTAAAGTAGTATAGATGGTTATTAATGAGGATGATTATAAAGAGATATGTATTAATAAAAGAGTAATTGATCACAAATGCAGGAAACTAAACTCTCTGTGGTGTGTGAAAGAGTTCTTGATCGGTGTTTGGCACCGTCAACTGTGGGCGGCGAGGGATGCGATAACATGACAATGATATTGGTGCAGTTCAAGAAACCCACTCAATTCACAGCAGCAGTAGCAGAAGAGCAATCCTCTGAAGCTGAAGCTAATACGGAGGAGAGAAGCCAGAGTGAATGAGTGGGCTTTGTTTTCCAAATGTAGATTGTATAGTGTGTGTGACTGATCCACTGGTTAGAATAATACACAAACGCAACAATCCTCCGTATTTGATGTATAAAATATCAAATGTTGTACCTTGTCGCCTCCTCCTTCTTGCGTTTGCTTCTGAGCTGCTCATTCTGCTTTGCTGCGTTTGTAACTCTTAATCATCAGTATTTGTAAAAATTTATAATTATAATTGTACCAGTTTTATCCCCTATTTTTCTCAGTTTCAGATCCCTCGTAAGTGCAGGATCTGTAAATTCTGATATGATCATAATCCGTTGGATCAGTGTAAGTCAAATAATAGTGAATGATCTCCTTGAGTATCATGAACGTATCTAAGTGTCTGTTAATCCCTCTCAGGTGACATTATTCCAAGTTTCTAGCAATCTTATGTTATACTTCCTCTATTATTTTTATTTATAAATTACTTTCAGCAAGTTTATCCAGAATTATAAAAAATTTTAAATCTCATTAATTTTATTTTAAATTTTAACAAGTTTTTATCTCTACGTCTGACAAAAATAAAAAGAATTATTTTTAATAATTTTTTTAATATTTAATAAATAAAGGCATAAAGGTGAAGAATATGAAAAATAATAATGTACCTTATAAATAAAATTAAAATTAATTTTTTCTCTCTACCTTAAAAGTAAGTATAAATTTTACTTCAAGAAACCTTATAAACTCCTTGCTTTGAGGGATTTGAATCCAATTTCATGGATCAAAATAGTTTATCCAAGGATAAATTGGCTCACTAGTAAAAAAAAAAATCTTGTATTCAAAAAATATGAACTGAGTTTTTAAAAATTTAAGAGTATAATCAATTCACATTAATGTATAAAGAGTTTATCATTAAAAATTTATAAGTGATTTATTATTGATATATAATGATATATTATTGACAAATATAATAAATCGATTATAATGCAAAATAAAATAAATATTAAGTTGTTTGCTTAATTTAATCTTATAATATAGGTTATATTTACAAAAAGTCTCTTTATCTGATTAATCTATTGAGGAAAGAAACTTAATGCTATTCAAAAGATATGGAAAGTATAATTTATTTCAAACTCTGCATTCTATACAAAGTTTATGGCCTACATTTTTTGTGGTTGTATACCAAAAAAAGGAAATAATTTCGAAATTATATTGAACGAATGCAATAAAAAAAATTAATTTAATTTCTTGAAATGAAATTTATTACCGAAGTAAAATTAAAACAAGCACTTATTGGTGGATTCCTGTGTATGAAATGACATATGGTTTTTCCTTGAGTTTGATTGGTTTACGTCTCCAGACTTTATAATAAAGTAAAATTAAATTCGTTAAAAATAAAAATGAATGGGCAGAAACAGAATAAAGATTCCAGGAGGGTGTATTAGTAATTTGGAGCTATTCACAGTTTGTAAACAACGTGGTTACAAAAGTGCAATCTTGATCTTGAGCCATTTATCTGCAACATGATAACCGTTCCTTTTTTTACTCCACTTCCTCCCTTCAAGTTCCGCTTTATTAAGGCTGAGAATAGGTTAAGTCCCAACAGAAATTTACAACCCGACCTACTTCAAACAACATAACTTATTTATTAAAAAAAATTATATACTTAGTTTTATATATTTAAGGAAGTTGTTTCCAATTAAATTAAAGCATGTATATCTATTATAGATGGTTTATTCTGTAATAAATTCCTATTATTAATATTATGAACATATTAAAATTCACATGTCTTGATTTTATTGGCTGTAAGTATATAAAAGTAAATATATAAGTCTTGCCCTTTACTAAATAAGTTCAGGCCAAATTTAGGCCTTTAATTAGGTTTATTTAATTAAATAGGCCAGACTTATTTTTCAAAGTCTAACCTATGACCCCAATAGATTGGCCTATTTGTGTGTGTGTGTATCACAAACACATCAACTTCATCTTTTGATTCTTAATTAATCTATTTTTTTTTTCTAATTATATTTTCAATCATATTAAATTTATATATTAATTTTAATGTTGTTACTTTATTGTTATATTGTATTGTAGTTGGTAAGTTCTTTCAATTATTATATATTATAATTAATAAATCAGATTATATATTGTATACTATAATAGTTTTAAAGTATATTTAAGACATTTAAAACTAATGCAAGCTTATTTAAAAAGATTATTTTTAAGCAGGTTTTTAAATAAGCTTTCAGGTCAAGCTTTAAGTAAGCTCAAACTTGAATTGTGAAAAAGCCTTATAAAAAAACCTTATATAGGTTTTAGGTCAGGCTCAAACTTATTTGGTTAAAATTTAGCTCAACTTAATCTATTTTCAGCCCTAAATAACTACAAATCCTCATATTACTACAATCCTACTCTGGATAAATTCATAATTTCCTCCTTGATTTGGTTTTTGAGGCAATTATGAATACCTGATAAATTCACAATTTTCTTAAGTCAGAGAGGAGGATGGCTGTCGATGAGGTACTATATTCACGTTGACAGGAATGAGGAAACTGCTTTGTGATTTTCACTTTTCAGATTAAATGTTTTTTGGGGCATAGAACCAACGAATTAATGTATCTACTTTACCAGGAAAAAAATATGATTCCGTTTCCTTTAATGCAGAACGAGAAATGGCAGGAGAAAGGGAAGGAGGATCAAGTGTGTGAAGCGAAGGCAGAGAGAGTGAAGTTACATCTGCAGAAAACAATTCTGTTAAAAATTGATCAAACTAGTGGCACTTTTTTTCGAATTATTACATGCTCGATTTAGCTTTTTCTCAGTGAATTCTGTGGTTCGAGAATTAGATTCTTTAATAATTAAAAGGGGATTTTATATAGCAAAACTCGATTTCGCTAGGAGTATCGTTGGATGAGAAAGTGAAACAGAAAAGCTTTCAAATTTTGATATTGGAAAGACAAACACCACGACAATGTAATATATGCATATAGGTATCATTACCACTAGAGTGTGGAATCAGATAGATACCTAAATTTTTACATATGAAGATAATAATTGGAAAAGAATCATATAATCCCCTCAGAAAGAATAAAACTCTCAATAAAAAATCAGTGATTGCTTGTTACTATTCTAAATCTCCAGCATCAACGAAAATGGAGCCATTTGCATCAGAGAAGCCACAAAGCCAGTACTCCTCCAAGAGCCGCCATTAGGCCAACCTGCAGAGCAGCGGCGCCACTAGTGGGAGCTACGGCAGGACCTTCGAACTCCGCCGGAGAAGGCGCCGGAGAAAAGCCCATGTGCCGGTTTCTCGGAGTGAGAACAACCACAACGAGCTTTTGGCCCTTCTCGCAGTGCCCATTTGCTCCGCTAATGAAATAGAATGGTCCAGGACGGTCAAGCTTCACCTTGGTGTTGCCATCATTATATTCTCCTACGGGGTTGGAGGTATTGCAATTAGCATAACCTTCCTTGCTTACTTGCAACACAGAGTCTCTCCCGCCGTCATACTTCCACACTGATCACAACAAAATCAGGGATATACTATCATCAAATGTTACGCGAAACAGAAATGCGCCGGAGGAGAAAGGAAAAGAAAATTGAATGTACCAAGATGGTCGCCGACTTGGAAGCGAGACCTTTCGGCCCATTGATTGAGAGTGTCAGATTGAGAGGAGGGGATCTTCCATGCATCAGTCTTGCCTCCCACCAAGATTTCCCTAGCTGCAGATAGGCCGAAGAGAAGGAATAGAAAGGCGAGAGAGGAAGCTGTTGAAGAAGCAGCCATTGATTCTGATACCTGAAGGGAAGAGGGAGAGCGTCAGATGATGCAGGCGGAGATGTTTTGTTTTGTATTGCAACAGCTCAAGAGGAGTTTGGAGGTATTTATGGGGGAAGAGGGAAGGAACTAGCCGTTGAAGGGTTGAGACTTGAGAGAGTGTATGGACCATGGAGTTGGGGCCACATGCCTTGCGGGCTGCGTGGGAATCGATGATCGATCGGAACGGCTTTGCCACGAGTTTCGCAACAGTGGGACCCACTTGCGTTTGGGATATCAAAGACGAACGTCGTTTTATATGTTGTAACGGTTACCGGAAGCGGATTTTGCTCAGGTGTATGAAAATGGTTGAAACGGACAAACTGCGCAGTTGTCAGTTGAAACAGAACATTCACGGTTTCTCGGATTGCTTCTCAATCTTCAGTAGTTCAATTCCTTCTTGGACCACCAAAGTCCAAAGCTTCTAGGAATTTCTTTTCGAGACTTGATTAAAACTGCTAGTGCGTTATGGAGATCAAAAATTTGTTATCCTGCCGGTGCCATTTGTTTCCTTAAAATATCGGTGACCCACGAATTTTGGGCTTATCTCAATTCATTGTATCGTTCTCCATGTATGACGCGAATTCTATAATTACATTATTCATGTATCCAATAAAATATACATAGCGCAGCTCATCTCACCTCAAATAAAACATTGCCCTATGATCCAGTTTTACTTTAATTTTTGTTTTAAAATTTGGCGCTTCTGTTATATCATCATGGAATTCCTCGTGACATTAAGCTCTGCAAATTTAAAGAATCAAATCTCCTTTGTCCGTTACGTTATGGTTTTGGTTTTGGTCAATGGAACAGCTACAACAGTTACATGCAGGGCTTATCCTCCTGGCTGTGCAACCTGATATGCGAACGGTGCCGTTTTATCGAATTCAACCCGTGGCATTTCTAGAACACTGTGCACATGATATGGCCGTTTTGGACACCCCAATTTATCCATGATGCGATACTGAGAGTTCTCTCCTGCTTTAACTAATTGTGTCAACCTATATTGATGAGTTAATCTTGTAGGCGCCAAGATCATTATCGCTAACTTGTCCACGAATTACTTTTTTACTTGTGTTTTACTTTTCTCGGTCAAAGATCACGATAAAATTTAAATGGTATAATTGATTTTTCAAAGTCCATGCAATATATAGGTATCGATTTTCTTTTCTCGATCTCCAGCATCCTAAGTTTTTGACCCAGATCAATCCGTTGGAACTTGGAAGCTCTTTGAAGACATACAATCAAGAATTTAGTTGGTGTTGCATATTTTAAGGTTGAATCTCAAGATCTCTAATTAAATAGAACCAATTTCCTAGGCAATTGATCCAAGTGTCCAGTAATTTTTTAAAAAATTTTGAATAGGATATGAGAAATAATGGGTGAGACTAAGCTTGATTATTGTAAAACGCTACAGTAATCAGCTTGGGCTTCATCTCATAGATCTGTTACATTCTTGTGGGGAAAAAAAACCTATCATAATTCACGAGAGGCAGAAGAGGGGCATGCATGGCGACACATGGCAGTAACGTGTCAGGAAGGCATGATGGTGCAGCAAACTTGGCAAACAGAGTGGGTTCTTCTTGTAGCTGGGTGGAAGCGAAGTGGAAAGAGTGGAAGGATGGCGGGTGAAGAAGAATGGAGGAAGAACGCGGACACTCATAAGATGAGTGCGGAGGAAGTGAAGGCCGCCGGAGTGGAAGCCTCTAAGAGACCGCCCGGCAGCGGCCGCCACCCTGGAGGCATTCTTCACCAGAGAAGAGCTCTTCCCTTCAGTTTCACGACTATCACTCTCACTGGCTTATTCCTCTCCGCCACCATCGGATATTTCGTCTTATACGCCCACAAGAAGCCTGACGCCACTGCCTCCGATGTTGCTAAGGTTGCTGTTGGCGTTGCTGACGCTCACGACACTCGCCCCGGCAATTAGCTCCCTTTCATTCTGTCTTCGCAATCTCCTCGGCACAATCTGTGTGTTATGATCTCTTTCTTGGCAATCTCTGTTTTGATTTTGACCGCGTTCACGTGTTTACATGCGTAGTGTTCTCATCTCCTTTCTTTAGAAGCCCATCACAATCATTGTAATTTTACTTCTTTTAACACCACAGTCCTACCAACAAACATTTCTTTCTAAATCCAATTATCCTATATATGCAACATTTATTACTCTTACTATTTCTCCATACAATAGCAATATTGCCTGTAGATCGTATTCGCAATGACAGTTTCTCCTGATATGCACAAGAATTTCATGCCAGGTACTGAAACGAAAGAATCAGTGTCTTGCAATTCAAAATCGTATAGAATACGTTACATCTGAACATGATATAAAACGCTCGAATTTCAAAACCTCGCACAAATTTTCTTCGTACTTCAAGAACTATAGCAGATCAATCAGAACAACTAATTTCTATAACACTTTGCAATAAAAAAGAATTACTATGACGCTTAATCAATTTTCACCGAGGAGTAGATAAGCCTTGTGAACCAGAAGCACGCATAGAATCCAATGGTACCGGTTAGCACAAAAAATGCATACGAAGCTATGAGCATGTACCCAAAGTACAAGATTCCAGACACCATCTTGGTGATTTCAAGCTTGGTGAAGAAGTAGAATGTCGCGTAAAGGAATAGGTAGAGTGCAGAAGAGCCGGATGTGAGGTATGACCGCCACCACCACAAGTAATCCTCACTGCACAGCTGGAAGTAGCACAGCACAATGGTTATCTCCGCACAAGTAATGACCAGGATTACGAAGACCAAAAAGAGGAAACCGAAGATGTAATAAAACTGGTTCAACCAAATTGAGGTGAGGATGAAAAACAGCTCGATGAAAACGGCTCCAAATGGAAGTATTCCCCCAATCAGGACTGAGAAAACCGGGTTCATGTACCAGGCCTGCTCGGGGATCTGCCTCGGGATTTTGTTAGTCTTCACGGGATTCTCAATTGCAGGCTTCTTGGATCCAACATAGCCGCCCACAAAAACCAGCGGAACCGAGATCCCAAACCATAAAAACATCAGTGCAAACATAGTACCAAAAGGCACAGCCCCAGATGATTTTTCGCCCCAGATGAGAGCATTTAGTACAAAGAAAATGGAAGAGACGATTGCAGGAAACATGACTGCAGTCCTGAAGGCGATTTTCTTCCACTCTGTTCCTTTAAACATTTTATATAAGCGGGCAGAGGAGTACCCGGCAAAAAGTCCCATGAAGACCCAAAGCAAAAGCATGGCTGTCATTAGTCCACCTCGGTTTGAAGGAGAAAGGAACCCAAGGATAGCAAATATCATGGTTACTAGTATCATTCCAAAAAACTGGACACCGGTTCCAACATATACACACAGCAACTCCGAGTTGTTAGGGGGCCTAAAGACATCCCCATGGACAAGCTTCCAACCAGTCTCTTCTTGGGCTTCTTCCTGCGTCTCAAGCTCATTGTATTTCGAGATATCACGGTAAAGTGTGCGCAGCATTATCATTGCCACCATACCCGAGAGGAAGAGAACAATCATCAACGAGTTTACAATTGAGAACCAGTGAATTTGGTCATCACTCATCAGCAAATAAGCATCCCACCTTGAAGCCCACTTTACATCACTCGGCTGTAGCCAAAGGTCAAGGCAGCTCTCAAGAATAAGACAAAATACCAACACCATGATAATAACAAATAATAATAGCAGGAGCAGTAAAAATAAAAGTATCAGGAGTCAAATTTATACGAGGAAAAATAGAAAGTATAGCAAAACCACTAAATAGCTCATACTCAATGCAGAGAGATGATAATAATCCTTTAGAATGGCTATGGCACCAGGAAATTTGTCCCGTTACTCCTAAACAAGCATACATGTAACATGATATCATGTCCATAATAATCTCACCTGAAACTCAACATCATACGTGAATATTATCTCACTATTCTCTTCAACCTCTTGAGGAGTGTTGGAATTAACAACTGTGCGTTTAGTATGAGGGTCACACGTCATCAATCGGGTCTTATCCTCCCATTTCCCTTCGTATTCATGTTTAACACTGCACAATAACAATCGAATCAAGAAAAATCAATTCTATATACCATAAATGAACTTATCAACATGAATAAATGCGTAGAAGAGGTAGGAATCAAAATTAATGACCTGAACGGCTTAACCTCAAAACCCACAATTCTAGCCGATTCAGTTACGTCGTCTTTATGAAACTTGACAATAAACGACAAGTGGTTGTGGATAAAATACTTCTCCTCTTTACTCTGAGAAATTAGACAACATCAGCACGACGAAATAAATGACACGCAACAAAAGGCCCATAATAGAAAATAACGAGTATACCCCACTATATTGCCCCTTAAGCCCAACATGGAAACCAAGCTGATAAACAGTAGAATCCTGATCCATCCGCTTTAGAGGAACAACAAGAGGAAGGTTATCAAGGATCCTGCACATAAAAAACAGTACCATTACAATATATATATATATATATATATTATCAAAACAGTAGATGGAATATACTGGCAAAAAAATGTAGGTCAGTCACTGGCATGCATACATGTTCACACGGTACTCATCATCAATCTTCTCTTTAAACTCCTTTGCAGTTTTGGCATCAAGTTTAAGCTTGCAGACAACATTGCACATTTGTGGCTCACGCATTTTGAACTGAAAAATATCTAACTTAGAATCGGACGCAAAACATGATAAGCAACAGGTTCACCATAAGGTGCAAAATTAAACTAACCACATATCGAGAATTTTCAATGCGATCACCACGAAGCACTTCACCAAGATTTTCTGCACTATCCAAAATTTTTCCAGGACTACAATAAGGGAGAGAATAATATGAGTAAGGCAGTTGAGTCTTCGTCGATGTTAATTTGTTCACTTTCACTTGCAATGTATCTCCCTGCACCAAAGCAATATTGAAAATGTCTATTAAGACAGATCTATAAATATATCCTAGAAATTTATTTAATTTGTTTAAGCATATCAGGAGCGCCAGAAATGGAAATATGACATACATCACATTCATCAAATTCAAATCTTTTACAAGTTTACAACAGAAGCATCCTATGCACACGGCCATCAAAATGAAAGCCAACTTTTCGAGCGGTTTCAACGAAAACAAGACACATTTTATTCGATTAATACACTCCATCAGTAGTTATGAAATTAAACGGTTGTAAAGGATAGTCCAACCACGCTCAGACGCGTAATGTAGAAAACTATAAATATAAACACCCTCAGTTGCGATTCCTGACATCCATCATCTTTAACAGCTAGCTAATTCTATAGAAAAATTTTACATCAAAAGCTCCAAAACCCAAATGACTCCTCGGCAAAATCCGAATCTCTTTCCAGTTTCAGAAAATACCAACGACAATATTATAATCCAAAAGACCCTCAACAACTAAACATTCACGGGGAAACAACAGTGCTCAGTTATATATTATAGCGCAATGTTGGGTAAATGAAGGGGGGAAATGAAGAGCGAGTATCGAATAGTAGTGTTTCAATGTTCTCCAATCCTCGGAATCTTAGGAAGCATAAATGAACACAAAGAGAAGAAAGAAAAATAAAAAAGACAATATCAAATTAAGGGCAAACCAGTGGACGTTCTTCAATTAGGGGATCTACTAGAGTTAAATTTCCCACATTCAATACGCTCCCCGCGCCCCATTTTTCAATCGCACAAGGGGTTGAAAAACCTAGAAACTGTTATGTCTGGCAGGTATCCGGATCAAGAAGTTTGTAAGAATCTGAGAACAAATGAATATGTGAGCGAGTAGTGGAGCTGACCTTATGAAAATCCTGCGGAGCGACGCCAGGGAGATAGAAACAGTGAGCACCATGAAGGAGAAGCAGAAGAGTAGCAGCGAACGTCAGAGTTCGGAAGGCGTAAGATCTCCAAAACGCCATGGCGCTAGAGATCGAAAGGCAAAGCGATGCAGATCTTAACAAAGGAGGCACTCCTTCAAATGGTTGCTATGTCCGTCGTGAGTTGCAAGGGAGAAGGACAGGGAAGACAAAAATATTAAAGATCAGCAGCGACTTGATAGAAGAAGACTAGGAGATTTTCTCCGGTAACAGGTTGGGTACGGTTCCACCTTCCATTTACAGATAGTGCCACGTAAGTGCTTCGAGTTGGATCTGACCAAAACGGTTGCCTTGTTTCTGTATCTAATGAAGGTCAATATCGGGATTTCAGCAAAATGTGAAGGAAGGAACCTACCTGTGACGAAGATAGAATTTTCATGAGGTTAAGATATCCTAAAAGTTTTCGGAACGATCCAGGACAATCAAGAAGGCCCCGGAGTCTTTTGAAATACGCCAGTATGACCTCGAAAGACCTAGATATCTCTAGAGTAGTGTAGAAAGCACTTGAAGCATTCAGATCATTCTAGAGATATCTTGCTCTTGTACATTCTAGTAGTCTCCTTGTAATTATCAAGATATTTCTTGTAGATATTTCTATAGAATTATCTAGAGATAGAATGTACACCGTTAGATCGAATCAATCCCAACCGTCCATTAAGGAGGTGGGAATTTTCTAGAGAAAGGGGGAGGCCTGTAAATACCCCCTCATCCCTCATTTGTAACTCACTCAAGCATAGTGTAAAAGATCTTAAAGTTCATTCACTCAAGCTCTCTACTCTCTATTTGCGCATCTAGTTCTCTTAGCCTCTTTGCCTACTTGTGGGATTCGGCTGATTTAGCAAAGATCAAGAGAGGGATCAAGCTAAGGCCGGCACGGTTCAAGGGAAGGGAGTTCTAAGGCCGTGACAACGTGGTATCAGAGCCAAGGTTCGAGGGAGCCGTGGTTTCAATAGTGCTACTGGTAGGCAAGAATGTCAGGTGTGACTGAGGAGACTCTTGCTCACGACGAAAAGAGGGGAAGGGAATCCCAACCTCCACACCAAGGTGGCAAGAGGACACGAGGCTCTAGTAAGGTACGTTCAGAAGACCTTACTATACTCTCTATAAAAATTGATGCTCTAGATAAAGCAATGGAGGAAATGGTGGGTAGAGTAGCGAAAGTTGAAGGTGATATAGGTACGTTGGAAAGCCACACTCTCAAAGAACTTGATGAGGTAAAGAGTAGTGTGGATACCTTGCAAAACTCTGAGGATCAACGGGAGGATGCCGTAAGGTCCTTAGAGACAAAGGTGATGGATGCCATCACCACGATGCAACAACAGCTCAACACTCTCAAGACTTCCTTAGAAGAAAGAGGAAGAAGCCCACTATTGGATGGAAATAGTGGAGTAAGGGAAGTCAAGTTAGATCTTCCCAAACCCAAGGAATTCAAGGGGGTACGAGACGCCAAGGAAGTTGAGAACTTCTTATGGCAAATGGAACGTTATGCTGACACCTTAGGGATGATTGATGATCAAACCAAGGTACGTATCGCAGCCTATTTCCTTACAGACAATGCCATGCTATGGTGGCGAAGGAAGCATGCAGACATGGACAAAGGGCTTTGCACAATCAATACTTGGGAGGACTTTAAGAAAGAGCTGAAGAGGCAATTCTATCTAAAGAATGTGGTCTACGAGGCACGAAAGAAATTGAGGGATCTCAAACATAAGACCACTATCTCTAACTATGTACGAGACTTCACTTCTTTAACACTTCAGATTCCTAATCTGAGTAGTGAAGAAGCTCTCTTCTATTTCATTGATGGTCTCCAGAACTGGGCCAAGCACGAGCTATAGAGGCGTGACGTGAAGACCGTTGATGAGGCAATTACAATAGCCGAAAGTCTCACAGAGTACCATAAGGAAAAAGGTGAGCCCTCTAAACCCAAGTCTTCCAAACCTAATTTTGGAAAAGGTGGGGGAGACAAGGGTAGGGGGACATCCAAAGGGGGTGATAGCAGGTTCCTACAGAAGAAACAACCTGAAGGACAAAAGAAGACCTTCAAGGAACAGACGGGATGCTTTGTGTGCAAAGGCCCTCATCGAATGAGAGAATGTCCGAAGCTAGGTATGTTGGCAGCCATAATGGAGAAGGCTGAAGAAGAAGAGCCTGAAGCGGAGATGGTATCTCTACGACTCCTCAATGCTTTAAAGGTCAAACCCTTGCTAAAGAATCCTAAAGGTAAGGGCTTGATGTATGTAGACGGGAAGTTGAATGGATCACCTGTCACCATAATGTGTGACACTGGAGCTGCCCATAATTTTATCACTCCAGAAGAGGCCAAGAGAATAGGCCTCAAGGTGGTGCAGGAGGGAGGAAGTTTGAAGGCAGTTAACTCACCTCCTAAGCAACTATGTGGCATAGCACAAGGAGTTAAACTATGTTTGGGGAGCTGGAGTGGTAAGATAGACTTCTCCGTAGCTCCTATGGATGACTTCAAGGTCGTGCTGGGACTTAAGTTCTTCAGACAGGTAAACGCTTACCCCATGCCCTATTATAATTTACTTTGTATACTCGAGAAGGAAAACCCTTGCTTTGTGACTACAAGAAGGGTGAGCGGTGGACACCAACTCTCGGCCTTGCAAGTCAAAAAGGGAATAAAGAAGGGAGAGGCTACGTACTTGGCAACACTAAAGGAGATTGACCCTGGGAACAAGATTAAGGAAGAAGTCCCTCCCATAGTTACCCATGTTCTGGTAGAGAACCAAGACATTATGCCTGCTGAGTTGCCCAAGAAGCTTCCACCACGTAGAGAGGTTGATCATGAGATCGAGCTGGAACCAGGAACTCGGCCACCAGCCATGGCGCCATATCATATGGCACCACCTGAGTTGGAGGAATTGAGAAAGCAACTAAAGGAGTTGATCAACGCAGGTTTCATCCGACCATCAAAAGCACCTTTTGGGGCACCGGTCTTATTCCAAAAGAAGCAGGATGGGTCCTTGCGCCTATGCATCGACTACCGGGCTCTCAACAAGGTAACTATTAAAAACAAATATCCTATTCCTTTGATAGCTGACTTGTTTGATCGCCTGGGAAAGGCAAAGTACTTCTCCAAATTGCATCTAAGGTCTGGGTATCATCAAGTTCGAATTGCTGAAGGAGATGAACCCAAGACCACCTGTGTGACACGATATGGGTCCTTCGAGTGGTTAGTCATGCCTTTTGGACTAACCAATGCACCAGCCACATTTTGCACTTTGATGAATAAGATCTTTGATCCTTATCTCGATCGGTTCGTGGTGGTGTACTTAGACGACATTGTTGTCTATAGCAACACACTGGAGGAACATGTTGAACACCTCCAGATTGTGTTCAAGACCCTTCGTGAAAATGAGCTTTATGTGAAGAAGGAAAAGTGCTCTTTTGCTATGGAGGAAGTCTCTTTCTTGGGACATGTCATCTCACATGGCTGCCTCAAGATGGATGAGAAAAAGGTACAAGCTATAAAGGAATGGGAGCCTCCAACATCTGTGGCTGAGCTGCGATCCTTCCTGGTATTAGTAAACTATTATCGACGATTCATCAAATGCTACTCGGCAAGAGCTGCCCCTCTCACAGAGTTGTTGAAGAAGAACAAATGTTGGACTTGGATGGAAGAGTGCCAACGAGCCTTTGAGGACTTGAAGGCGGCAGTCATGGAAGAACCGGTGTTGATACTTCCTGACTTCTCCAAAACCTTTGAGGTACATACTGATGCCTCTAACTTTGCTATAGGAGGTGTCCTAATGCAAGAGAGGCATCCTATTGCCTTTGAAAGTTGCAAGCTAAATGATACCGAGAAGCGGTACATGGTCCAAGAAAAGGAGATGACGGCCATAGTCCATTGCTTACGTACCTGGAGGCATTACTTGCTACGGGCAAAGTTTATCATCAAGACGGATAATGTGGCTACTAGTTACTTCTAGACTCAGAAGAAGTTGACGCCAAAGCAAGCAAGATGGCAAGACTTCTTGGCTGAGTTTGACTATGTGTTAGAGTATAAGACAGGAGCAGCTAATGTTGTTGCTGATGCTCTAAGTAAAAAAGCAGAACTAGCAACCTTAACCCAAGTCAGTGGGGACTTGGTCGAAAAGGTTAAGGAAGGAATGGCTCAGGATCCCATAGCCCTACAGCTAATGGAACTAGCAAAAGAGGGGAAGACTAAGAGATTCTGGGTGGACGATGACATCCTTTACACTCTAGGAAGGCACATGTATGTCCCTAAATGGGCAAACCTAAGGAAGGAGCTGATCAAAGAGTGTCACGACTCTAAATGGGCAGGTCACCCAGGTCAGAGGCGAACTTTGGCTTTGTTAGAAGCAGCCTATTATTGGCCTCACATGAGGGAGGATGTGGAACTTTATATGAAGACTTGTCTTGTATGCCAACAAGACAAGGTAGACAACCAATTGCCTGGAGGACTGCTCGAACCCTTACCTACACCGAGCCAACCATAGGAAAGTATTTCCTTAGACTTCATCTCAGCATTACCTAAGTCAGAAGGATTTGAATCCATCATGGTGGTAGTAGATCGATTCTCCAAATATGCAACTTTCATAGCTACCCCGACAGACTGCACGGCTGAGGAAGAGGCTCGGATGTTTTTCAAAAATGTGGTAAAGTATTGGGGCCTTCCTAGAACTATTGTCAGTGACAGAGATCCAAGGTTCATAGGAAAGCTATGGACAGAACTATTCAAATTATTGGGGACGGAGCTACACTTCTCAACTAGCTTTCATCCTCAAACAGATGGGCAAACTGAGAGGGTGAATGCTTTGCTTGAGTGCTATTTGCGGTACTTTGTTAGCGCCAATCAAAAGGACTGGGCTAAGTTGCTTGATGTGGCTCAGTTCTCTTACAACTTACAAAGGAGTGAGGCGACAGGGAAGAGTCCATTTGAGATTGTGATAGGACAACAACCGATCACCCCACATGCCCTCGCAATCTCCTATAAAGGTAAGAGCCCTGGAGCTTTTAACATGGCTAAGTCTTGGCAGGAACGGGCAGATGAAACAAGATCATTCCTCAAGAAGGCTGCTAAGAAGATGAAGAAATTTGCAAACAAACGGAGGCGTGCAATAGAATTCCAAGTGGGAGACATAGTAATGGTAAAACTTCTCCCACAACAATTCAAAGCCTTCAGATCAGTACACAAGGGCCTCATTCGCAAATATGAAGGTCCTTATAAGGTAATCAAGAAGGTAGGGAAAGTCTCATATAAATTGGATCTCCCTACTAATTTAAAGATTCATCCTGTCTTTCATGTTAGCATGTTGAAACCCTATCATGAAGATCAGGATGACCCGACCCGAGGAACATCATCACGTGCCCCACCGACCATCACTAAAGCATATGATCGAGGACTTGAAGAAATACTTAGCCATCGAGTTATGCGAAAAAGAGGTGTGCCACCAGACACACAATACTTGATCAAGTGGAAGGGATTGCCAGAGAGTGAAGCAACATGGGAATCTCAAAGAGATCTTTGGCAATTTGAAGAACTACTTCGATCTTATAGAGATGATGCTGTGACGAGGACGTCACTCGAATAGGTGGGGGAGAATGTGATGAAAATAGAATTTTCATGAGGTTAAGATATTCTAGATGTTTTCAGAACAATCCAGGACAATCAAGAAGGCCCCAGAGTCTTCTGGAATACGCCGGTATGACCTTGAAAGACCTAGATATCTCTAGAGTAGTGTAGAAAGTACTTGAAGCATCCAGATCATTCTAGAGATATCTTGCTCTTGTACATTCTAATAGTCTCCTTGTAATTATCAAGATATTTCTTGTAAATATTTCTATAGAATTATCTAGAGATAGAATGTACACCGTTAGATCGAATCAATCCCAACCGTCCATTAAGGAGGTGGAAATTTTCTAGAGAAAGGGGGAGGCCTATAAATACCCCCTCATCCTTCATTTGTAACTCACTCAAGCATAGTGTAAAAGCTCTTAAAGTTCATTCACTCAAGCTCTCTACTCTCTACTTGCGCATCTAGTTCTCTTAGTCTCTTTGCCTACTTGTGGGATTCGGCTGACTTAGCAAAGATCAAGAGAGGGATCAAGCTAAGGCCGGCACTGTTCAAGGGAAGGGAGTTCCAAGGCCGTGATATGCCGCTGCTTATTTTCCACGCTAGTACTTAGATCTGCCAGTATGCGACTGCAGGAGAGAAACCATGGAAACATGATTCAAAAATATAAATAATAATGTCATAAAACCCATTTTTTATGCATCGGATCTGGAATTTTCCTGAAGTGGCGTCGATTTTTATTAGACTGCTTGGCACTAGAATTTTTTTTTGGTAGAACGGAAAATATATAAACAATAAAAAAAATTACAAAGTCAGAGATAAATCAGAAACGTTACAAGGATAATTAAGCAAATGAAAAAGTGAATCATCATTTAAAAAAAGTTAGTGAAATTCAAAATAAATAAAATCGATGTTCGGAAAAATGTTGAAATGGCGTTTACTTGCTTACTGTTTTTTTTTTTTTTTTGCCAGAAGTTTACTTGCTTCATTGAACATCTTACCTCTTTCGGTACTTTGAGTTTGTGACTATTTTCATTGTGTCGCAGGAAACATTAATAGACAACAAAAATTGCCACCTTAAAAAAAAAAAAAAATCCACCGACAACGTCAATGTAGTTTCTTCCGGAAAGAAAGTGGCAATGACAGGAATATTGGGCCACTTGGGACGAGGCCGAGGGACTCCCCCTAATAGTAACATTTGAATCTGGACACAACATATTGGGCAAAGTCCAGTCCAGTGTGGATATGGTGGAGGCTCAGCGTTCAGAGCGCAATCCGATGATGCACCCCCCCCCACCCCACTTCCTTATACTCCTTTATATTTTTTGACCTTTTTTATAAAAAATGTGACAATTAGTTTTGTGCCCTCATATTTTTTATGGTTTTAACTTTTACCCTCCCATGCTGGCAAGTCTAGATTCGTCACCATGGCCGTGAAAGCCGCAGGTGAGACAATTGCGCCTTCAAAAAAAAATTTATTAATACCCTTATTATATATATATGTAATTGATATATGTATTATTAATTGATATATATTTAATTGAAGATGAAATAGAATAAAAAGTATTAATTTTTTTCTTCTTAAAAAGTTCTAATCATTCATAAGATATTAATTTATATTACATTAACTTGTGTTAAATTTCTCTTATAATCTCACTTTTTATTTTCTTTTTTTTATTCTAAAGTCTAAAACATCTACAAATATTAGTATCGTGACCTTGTATAGTTTTAGACTATTAACATAATGCCTTTAAGCCTTATTAAAAATCTAGTTTATAATTTATATAATTATTATTAGCTTTTTATATTAATCATTGATATCATTAGTCTTAGTTATATCTTTTTTTTGTTAAAAATGTATTGCTATCTCATATCATTGTTAATATTCTATCACAATATATAAGATGGGGTAGGAGCACTTTGTCAACTTTATTTTTTATTTAACTATTGAATTAATTTAATATTTTATTACAATCGCTATATTATAAAAATTTAATATATAATTTTGTAAAAAAATGGTTAGTGCATTTTTTTAAGAGATAATTATACGTGTTAGGTTTTACTAATAATTTCACCGTAGGCTTCAAAACATCTTCACACGGCCTGTTCGTCATTGCTCCAAACGTGAAAGATGTTAAAGCGGGTTGGCGATTATGATTTATGAGTTAAAAGGAATAGGCAAAGCTGTGTCAATATGACTCTGAAACTTTGTGGTGAGTCGTGGAAGCAATTATTGCATACACTAGTGATGCCGTTATTGGCACTGAATGATATATAATTAATATTAATAATGTAACGGGGCGATCGTTCAATAATGCAGGGAGAATTTTAAATAAGAATTAAAAATGTGATACAATAGTTGATGTATCTTACAATGTTTTAAAATTTCAGTTCAATATAAGAGATAAAAGTAAAAATAATTTAAACCATTAAAATACTTTTCACTTGTTACATGAAATTATTAGTTGTTAATTTTGTTTACTTCACTTACTAACTTATTAATATGAGTTACAAATTATATGAGTTAACAAGTCAATAATTATATCAGATTTGATATCAGTTATTCAGTCACGAGCAATAACATTAATTATTAAATTGCTAACTTTATATGTTAATTTATTAATATTAGTTATAAATTACTGAAAAGTTTTATAATTTATTAATATTGGTTGTAAATTATTAATTGATGTTACTACTTATCTAACAAACAAATATAGTGTACAAGTGATGTTGGCAATTTAGTAAGTGAAGTAAGAAAAATAATGACTAATAATTCTACGTAACAAGTAAAAAACACTTCTGTCTTTTCACAATTAAGGTTTTTTTCATTTTTTTCATCTAGATTAAATTAAAATTTCAGAATTTTTTGAGGCTTACCAATAATTATATCACACCTCTGATAGTTATTTGAAATTCTCCCTGGGCTGCGTCAAGAGAACATCATTGCTAATAATAGAATGATAACAATCTCGTCTTACTTTACTTCTTAATCAATTAAAGGTGTTAATGTTGTAATGATTAATCATAATCGTCATATATCCATAGACTGCAGATCCCATCCCACCATTTTGTTTTTTTTTTTAACAAAAAAGATGCACGTGAATGTGTTTTGAGCAAAGTCAACCTATTTTCCACGTGTATGCGTGGATGGAATATAAAAGGAAAAGGCTCCACTCCAGTACACATGTCAATGGACGCACTTGTTCGTTTCCTGAAAATACATGTACAGCGATGATGATAGTAGTGATAGTTACAAATCCTTGAGATGGGTCAACAGGTTTTTGAGTGGACACCCTCACGAGTAATGATGGTTTGTCGCGGCCATGGTGCAAAATGGAGCACTGAAGAAAACAAAACAAACAAACAACCCAACGTGTTTGAATATCGAAGGCATTTTGTCATCGAATGCGCCCTTGAAAGACTAAAGGGAGGGAAGCAAAAATTTTACAGGTTATATAAAAAATTTTCAACCTAGACCGCAAGGCCAACCCACTTTTTAAACAAGTTTGGCAAGGCAGCCCACTTTTTTAATCCGATATGGTTAACAACCACACCCCACCTTCTAATTACTTGCACGGTCCTCCCCTTTCCGCTCTCCTTGCTGGTTTCCTCTCACTCGCGCTCCCTCAAAAGCCCCCAATATATTTAACAACAACAAACCCAATAATAGAAAGGCGGGCAAGAAGCAGTGTCAGAAATAAAAATCAAGCCTGAAAACCCTATTCAAATAAAAATTTAAGCTTTAAAATTTAATTTTTTTAAAGTAACTGAACTCGAGGGCCTACGTTTAATAAACCCTATAAAAAAAGACTCGAATTCAGGCGGCTCTTCAAGCCTAATTATTTTATATATGCACACACGTATACGTACATATATTTGATTGATAATGACATAATTTAATTAAATTGTAGGTAATGAAGAAA